GCTGACGTCGCTGCTCCAGCAGGTGAAGAGCTCCCGCGGCACGCTCGCCGGCATGTCCATGGAGGAGGTCATCGAGCAGGTCGGCTTCAAGCTGGTACAGAACGAGAGGTCGGCCCCGGGGCCCATCAGCCGGCCCACACCGCCCGGCCCCATCCAGAGGCCGGCCCCTCCCCCACAGAGAGCAGCAGCGGCAGGTGGAGGTCAGCCTGCCGGGGCCCGTAAACTCTGCCTGATGTGCCAAAACCACGTGGATCCAGAGAGCCGCCACCCACTGAGCTGCTCCCACACCATCCACAAAGACTGCATCAAAGTGTGGTTGCAGTCCAGCAAGAACAACTCCTGCCCCTTCTGCCCGGGGAAGTGATGGAGAAACCCAGAAACTTCAGCAGTGACTCTAATCAGTGGCAGTTCCAAAGATGACTCTGAAATGTTCAACACTGAATGTCTCTGTTGACGACAGATGAGGCTTTTCAGTATGTTCTTTGATAAATACAACTTACAATAAAGAAAAGGAGTGAATTGTTAAGGCTGGTGAATAAAACAGGTACATCGTTAATCATGTTATACCATTGAGAGTACGTATGCAAGAAGCTAATTCTTCTCATGGTAACATGCTAATTGGGTTTGATATGGTTGGAAAACAAAAATCTGATCGTAATATATTTTTCTACAAATTTTATTTTAGTTTAACAAAACAAATCACATGCAGCCAAACAAGAACGCTGGCAAAATAAATATTGGGAACATTTTGATTTTGAGAAAATAAAAGAACTAAGAATAAAAAATAATTTGACCAAACATTTGATACTAACTTTCACCAGACAGTTTCAAGAGAAGTGTTAAGGTTTTATACCTGGGCCTAATGCTAATTTTAACATGCCAATAGTCAGCATGTTATCATATAACATTAACCACAGTAGCATGCTAAAATGGCTACAGTTGACAGTTTATCGGGTCATGTTTAGCAGAAGAGTAGCATGACTATATTACTGTGGCAACACTCTTACAAAAATGCTAAAGCTAGCATGAACGTTTTACAGTAGGCATAGAAATCTTCCTTTTTGTTTGTGTGTATCAAAACAAGTGTATAAATGTGATTACATTTTAGTTTGTGTGCGGATCAAACAAACGAGATTCAACTAATAAATGAGCTTTAGAGTTCTTGGTTGGTGTATTTTTTCCATTTTGGGCAGAGCCGTTGGCCCCTGCTTCCACTCTTAATGCTATGTTAACCACATCCTGGTTTCAGGTCTGTACTTAATACAGAGAGATGACATCAGTCTTCTATGCCTTTAATGTGAAGTTTTAACAAAAAAATCAGGCCTCTTACTAAAATATGGTCAATTATGTATAAAACAAAAGATTATATAGAAAGGTATATCTTTAATAAACGACTGAAATAAAGAGCTAGTTTTCTCTTTTGATGAGCTAAACTAAGTCCCTGGCTTCACGCTGCCCACACTTCAATAAAAATACGCATACACGCTATGAAGTCACACACACAACCATTCAGACGGAGATCAGCCCACAAACACAACCTATTGCCTTTTAAAGATTCCCCTCCAAGACAAACACACACACACAGTTTCACATTCTAACTCCCCGTGGACATCCCAGTCAGCTTTAATGGGAGCGCTGGGCGGTCGATGGGTGAGGTTAAAGGAGCCATCGCTTCCCAATAAATATCAGCACACACACGCAGTGCAGAGTGCTGAAAATATGTCTATCTACTGTAGTTCTGTGTGTGTGTGTGAAATAATGGCTGTGTGTGTGTTTGTGGACTGCTTCCTGTTTACTGTCTGAACGTCCATCTTTCCTCTAACAAACTCCCTCTCTCTCTCAGTTTAAAGGTTACTCTCTCGGTTGGCTCTGACCGATTTTACAGGCAGCAGTGCCAATAAAAGCTGCTCGTCTCCCAGTAAAGCTGCTGTAATGAATGAAGAACGCTGCAGAAAATAAAGACAAAACGCTACCGAGGGTGGAGAGGTTGTTGGATCGGAGAGACTGCGAGGCTCTGCAGGAGGATTCAGTCCTGTGAGAGACGTGTGTTTGGTTTAAGGGCTGCTTGTTGTGTAAAGCTTCGGTGTCGGCTTGGGTTTGGCTATGTTCAAATGTAAGTCATTAAAGGTTGATAGTGGATGAATTCAAGCAAAAAAAAAAATGGCCTTGGGTTCAGGTCTCAATTTTGGCAGTACAAGTTGGGATCCGTTAGGTCTGGTCTAAATATGATTAAAACACTCGTATCAAGGCAGCCATTCAGTATTTAGCCGCATTAAAGTCGCGCCATCTTGAGCCCGATAAAATACACACATTCTACTGACAGATCCTAGCAAATAACAACTCTGATTAATAAGCTACAGCAATGTGACATTAGTATTAGTGACATAAGTAGTCTATTACTTCTCAATGATAGCAAGTTGCAAGTTGTATTTAATATTCATTTGTGGCAGGCATTAAGAATAATAGAAATAGTAATTTTCTCTCGCTGATAGTCTTTATGTGGGTCATATAGAGGCATCACTTAAATTGTCCGTTTCATAACCAGTTAAAAACTGCTTGTAGTACATTTAAAGTAGCCTACAACGGAAATTAAATTGCATTTTTGTCTGCTACAGCAATTCATATGTGCTTGTATATCACTTGTTGTGTGTTCTCCTTTGAGAAAATATCAGAAACCATTGTATATAAAATACCATCAAAGGCCAATCACATCTTGCATAAACAGTAAGGTCAGCATTCTATCATTAGACAGAGCAGGTAGTCACACTGACAGACAGCAACCTGCTACGCAACACAGAAGAACCAGCAAGAGCTTGCCGGACGAGCCTCCAAACAAAACATTCACTGGGGGAAAGTGCGCCGCAAACGTCAGTTTGGAGGCTAGATAGCCAATCAATCAATCAATTGATCAATTGATCAATTATCTTCTCAGATGTAGCACCTTAAACAACTCTTCAATACCACAACAACCAGCCATCTGCCTATCACATGTAGGCCACAGCGCATCTTTGTTTACTCTCGTTCCCTACGATGTAACACCGCCACTCTCTGGTACCTGAAAGTGTAACACTGGAGCTCTGGCTGCCTGCCAGCTGCTGTCAATCAAACATATACATGGATCAGCCATGGATACTCCAGCTGAGCAATTCTGATATTTTCTCTTCCTCTAAAAATAAAAAACAACAAAAAACATCTTTAAAAACCACGCTGATGTCATTTTTTACTACAAAATGAATGACAAAATGAGATTTTAGTTGGACTTTAA